TTTGTTTATAAAGATAATAATTGGGATTCTGTCGAGATTATTTTGTAATTTTTGAACATTAATTGAATTTTGTGATAAGAATTTGATTACTTTTGAAAATAATTGAATTTCTGCAATCATTTGTAACTTCTTTAAAATTCAATTTTTTTAGTGTTTTTAACTAAAATTATTTTATAAATAAATTATTTTTTAAAATTTAATTAAATATATATTGACAAATTTAACTAATTTTAGAAGATTTTGAATTATTAAAATTTTCCAAAAATCTAAGTTCATTAAAATTTCTAATTAAATTCATTTAATATTGAAATTTTATAAAAGTTTAAATTGAAACAGTTTGAAGTTCATTTATTTATGATAATTCGTAAACGCAACTCTTTTAAAATTGAATTAATTTTGAAATATTTAAGTAAAATTATTCATTAAATAATTTATTTATTTTATGATAGTTGTTCAAGATTTAAGTTATTTAAAAAGAAATTTTTGTCAGAAATTGAAAAAATTGAAGGTTTTGTATTTGAATTCGTGGTAATTTCGCAGTTTATGAGTCAAACAAAAAAGACACAAAAATTCATAATTTTTTTTTATAAATTCTAATAATTTTATTTCTTTTCAGTACTTTTAATAAAAATTCCTCACTTTTCCCTGAATCCCCTATGTCAGAATATATGATTATTAAAATTATAATAATATTAAAACTTTATACTCCAATTCATATTTTATTTTTATAAAAAATATTTCAATCAATAATTCTTACGTTCTATTATTTTTAAAATTGCTAATTATATTTAAAAAAGGGAGCGAATTGTTGCTAGTTAATGTTTTTAAAATACAATCGATATTTTTAACTTTATTATTATAAACTAATATGTTCCTTAAAAAAATACAAATTAAAAGGTGTGAAGAAAATAAAAATAAATTTTTTTTTTTTAAATTAATAACAAAAAATGTAGTTGATCGATATTAGTTATTTTTATGGTATTAGATAATTTAGTGATATTGTTCAGTTTAGTAAATTAGTCGGTCGGATGATATTAGTTTTCTTGCTAAAAGGTGTAAAGAAAATAAAAATAAAAATTTTTTTTTAAATTAAAAACAAAAAATGTAGTTTATAGAAATTAGTTATTTTTATGGTATTAGATAATTTAGTGATATTGCTCAGTTTAGTAAATTAGTCAGTTGGATGATATTAGTTTCCTTGCGATGATATCAGTTAATGATATTACTTCCTTTCACGATACTATCACGAAAGGAATCTAATATCATTAACTAATATCATCACAGCAATGGTATTAGTTCATCCAGTGATATTAGATCGGACAGTGATATCGACAATGTTTTTCGACAGAATATAGAAAAAAAAAAAATTGGATCCCAGCTCATATGGAGGAGAAAGTATCTCACGGGACAGTTTATTGCAACCTTTAGCCACTGATTAAAAGACGTGCTCCAGAATCTTGGAGATGAGAACTCTTTACGATATTACGTCAGTTGAGTTTGTTATTAGGTGCAGTTGGTTAGGTTAAAGCTTCTCGTCATTCTTATTGAATAGTTTGTAGATATATATATATATAGACTGAGTTTTGGATAGCAAGTAACTCTCGACGAGTATTCAAGTTTCATATATAGGGTAAAACCTCATTAGAAGTGACTGAAAAGGAAAGTGGAGCAACTTTACTCAGTGTGTATATATATTGATGATCGTTTGCTATTATAATTATCGTTACGTTAACTGTATTCATGATGCTATTTTGTGCTTTTAATGGTTATGGATATTAAATGCAGAGATAATAATTAGGTGCTGCTTATGCACTCTTGTGTAAAAGCACTGAAGAAAAGGAAAATTACGCTTATCTTTTTCCTTCACTCCCGCGCTCACCTTTATCCAAAACGTTTCATTATAGATCTCATTTGTCTGATAAATTCATTTTTATTTGCATAATTAGATTAAAACAAGAATTACATCATTTTTTTCCCTTACTATTATCATTTTTTCACTTCTTTTTTTACTGTTATAGTTTTCTCTCCACTTTATATATAGAAATGAGAAAAATTTGCCAATTTTATGTATTAATTTTCTTTTTTACTTTTTTTTTATTATACTATTTTTGTAACCTAATTTAGAGGGAATTTTTATATTTTAAATTTTATACTGGCAACAATTCGCGCGCTAATAACTTTTTACTCACTTTTTATAATAAAATTAGCAATTTTAAAAACAATATAACGTAAAAATTTTAAATAAATTATTATTATTACCTAAATAATAAATTATTATTTTTTAAATTTATTTTAAATAAAAATAATTTTATAAAAATAAAATATGAATTGAAATATAGTTTTAATATTATTATAACTATAATAATCATATATTCTGATACAGGGAATTCAGGAAAAAGTCAGGGATTTTTTGTTAAAAGTACTGAAAAAAATTAAATTTTTAGAATTCATAAAAAAAATTCTGAATTTAGGGTCTTTTTTGTTTGCCTCATAAACTAGGAAATAACCACAAATTAAATAATACAAAACGTTCAATTTTTTTAATTTATGACAATAATTTCTTTTTAAATAACTTAAATCTTGAACAACTATTTTAAAATACTTATAAATTATTTAATGAATAATTTTACTTAAATAATTCAAAATTAATTTAATTTTAAAAAAGCTGCGATTACAATTATCATAAATAAATGAACTTCAAACGGTTTCAATTTCAAATTTTATAAAATTTCAATGTTGAATGAATTTAATTAGAAATATTAATAAACTTAGATTTTTGAAAAATTTGAATAATTTAAAATTTTCTAAAATTAGTTTAATTTGTCAATATATATTTAATTAATTATTAAAAATGAAGGATTTATAGAAGAATTTGAGCTAAAAACATTAAAAAAATTAAATTTTTAAAGAAATTACCAATTATTTTCAAAAGAAATAAAATTCTTATCACAAAATTCAATTCAGTTCAAAGTTGAAAAAAAATTTCGTCAAAATCCCAATTATCTTTATAAATAATAAAATTCTTCTTCAAAATTCAATTACTTTCATAATTTTTTTCTCATTTCAATAATTTTCAATGCCTCTACTATTTTAATAAAACTACCCAAAAGAAATCAATTATTTAAAAAAATTTGTAGTAAAATTGTACGCAAACATTTAATTATTTTCATAAATATTAAAAATTTCACAGGAATTCAATTATTTACAAATTTTTTGCAAGTTTTTTCTCATTAATTCAATTATTTTCATTAATAATAAAAATTTCACATGAATTCAATTATTTTAAAAAAAATTATTAAAGTTCTTCGCAAAAATTCAATTATTATCATAAATATTAAAATTCCCCGACAGATTTAAATTATTTTCATGAATAATAAAATTCTTTGTAAGAAATCAATTATTCTTGTAAATAATAAAATTCTTCGCAAAATTTCAATTATTTTTATAACGAATAATAAAATTTACTGAAAAAATATAATTACTTTCAAAAAATTTAATAAAATTCTTAGCAAGGCTTTTATTATTTTTTTTTATAAATAATGAAATTCTCCACAAGATTTCAATTATTTTCATAAATAAAAAATTATTTACAGGAATTCGAATGTTTTCAATCCAATTTTAATATAATTTGTGAAACAAATGCGATTATTTTCAAAAAAGCTAATAATTGCTCTGATAGAATTAAATTATTTTTATAAGTAGTTGAATTCTTCTCAATAATTTAATTATTTTCATAAATAATAAAAATTTCACAGGAATTCAATTATTTTTAATCAAATTTTAATTGAATTCCTTGAAAAATGTAACTATTCTTAAAAATTTTATTAAAATTCGTGAAAATAATTCAATTATTTAAAAATTTGGTAATAACATTTTTCATAAGAATTAAATTTTAAGAAACATTCACACGGTAAATCGTTAGGTGTTAAAATAACACCAAAATGGATTAAAATAACACTAAATTGGATTATTTTAATCCTTTTTGGTGTTATTTTAATACCTAACGATTTACCGTGCAATTATTCAATAAATAATTTACTTTTGTATGTAAATAATTGAATTCTCGTAGAATTTCCTAATAAAAATTTATTTAAAAATGTAATTTAGTTAAAATTTTTGATAATAATTGAATATGAAAATAATTTTGAAGAAGTTACAGTAACAACATTTTTATGATATAAAATAACTATTTTATCTCTCGAACATCTTTAATTATTATAAAAAAAAATTTATTGAAAAAAATTTCAATAAAATTATTGAAAATCTTAATTCCTATGGAAAAATAATAATAATTAAATATTTACTTAAAAAAGAAGTTATTGATGTTTTTGAATAATTTTGCAATTAAAGAAATTCGTAAATAAATGTAACAGAACATAACATAATTTCTAATATTATTTTATTATGAATCATGAAAAAATACCTCCATATTTTCAATTTTTCAATTTTTAATGAAAAAAACACAGAAGCATACACAAAAGCAAACTTCAAACTGCGGACAGAATGAATGAAAGAATATGAAGATTAATATAGTTAATAATTAATTAATTAATTAATTGAATGAATGTAGACGAGAGATGAATATAAAACTAAATTACTATTACAAAAATGTAAAAACAAATTATCGAATTTTACTTTTTCTGTTTTAGAAAAATAGTTGAGAACACGCACAATTTTTCTAAGTTTATCAAATTGAGACAAAAAAAAGTTGCTTCGCAACTATTTTGATACTTTTTTTTGTCTCAATATGATAGCCTTAGAAAAACTGTGAATGCAGAAAATTGTGATGATAACAAAAGTGATAAATATTTATTTTATTTTTTGTTGTTGTTAAAATTTTTGGTGATAAATTACATGTGATGTAATTTTATTTTGGGATTTACAACTAATTAGCTAATTATGTTTGCGGGATTTATAGATTGTGCAATTGTTCTCGACAGATTAGGGATTCACGACAGATTGCGAGTTTGATATACATCGAATCTAATTACCGCTGTTACCTGATTGTCGATGTAATCTTGATTCTCATCGTGACCGCCACCAACAGGAGTACCGTAACTGTTTGTTAGCGTTCCATGACCATTACCTCCTCCTGCGTAATTTCCAGGTACTCCGTATTGCGTATTTAAGGGTGGCTCACAGTAAACTAAACCCACGTTTACCACCAACGACAATATTATCTGTATTGAGAGTAAACAAAGAAATTTTCATTACTATTATTTATTCACTATTTTGTTATCTCTCGTTTTAGAAAATTATTTTTTTCAATATTTATCAATTTATTTTAATATTAATTATTAATTTTTTATAATATTTTTTTTTCCTTGTTATCCAATTATTTATTTACTCGATTATTCAATTATTTATTTACAAGATTTTTAACCTTTTGCGAAATTGAATTAATAATTATTCGTAAAAAATGAATATTAGGAAAAATAAAAATTCGAGTAATAAAAAAATTATTTGAAATAGAATTCTTTCGCAGTAATAAACATTCTTTCAATCGATCATTCGAAAACGTTTTTGTAAATTATTATTTCGATTAAAAGAAATTATAATTAATTATATTACTAGAAAAATAGTGAATAATTAATTGTTTAAAAGTTTCAAGCAAATTTAAAAAAGATATTTAAACTTTAAAGTAATTAAATAGAGAACAATGGGGAATGAAGAGTGATCACAATCACCCACATAATACAATTAAGTAAAATTATACTTTAATTCTCAAAAAGTGTACAAATAATTATCACTGTAATAATTAAAAAAATGCCTAAAGCACAATTTTTATAATTTTAATAACAATAAAATGATACTTTGCATTTCACATATATTTAAAAAATTTTTTTAATTGATTAAAAGTGATCCCAGGTTACGAACGGAAGATAAATAATAAAATTGGAATTGAAATGATAAGAGGAAATGCAAATGAAATTTACTGTTTGAATTATTAACCATATTGAAACGTGCATTGATTATTGAAATGTAAAATATTAAAATTTCAAATGAAATGCATTATATAAACTTGATTTTTCATCTATTCAAAATGTAGATAATGTAAAATATAATTACTTGCATTTTTCGACAGTTCGTAAATTTTTTATTGAATTCATAATTATTGTATATGATGACAATGATGATGATAATAGAATTTTTATTAACCTTGTTTTAATAAACTTAAATAAATTCTGTATATATAAAACGGAGAATTTTTTTCCCCCTTTTTTTAAAACAAGAGCAAAGAGAGTGCTGATTATGTGGCAAAATACTGCCAACATTACTATTGTATAGGTTTTGTAATGTAGAAATGTGTACGTATATAAAGGTGATGTCAGTTTAATTGAGGAATAAATTCCCGCTTCGTTCGAAATGTTTTCAGTAGTTAAACAATAGCATTACGTTTGTCTGCGCGTTTCAGAATTTTATATATATATATATTTAAAAGTACCATTGAGGGTTGCTAACGCACACAAATTTCTAAACAGATTGATGCTGAATTACTTTATACGTAACGTATTCGTTCGAATTTTCGATAATTCGTTCTCGTTATTCTAATTTTAAAGGGATTTTTATGTCACGTGCGGTATTTTTTTTTTGTCTTTTTATACCCTTTTCAGTACAGATTGCTTTGTCTTCTTAATTATTACCCGTTCAATTTCAATTTATCAACAAGAGCGGAAAAAAAAGTAATTGGCAAATATTTTTTTTTCCATTTATTTCACGATTTAGAAGGAATATTCTGCAAAAGTGTAAATTTTATTTTTTTGTTTTGTTAAACTAAATTTTTTTATATATTATTTTCTCTGCTAAATTTGAATTGTAGTAAAAAATAACTAATTGTTGCTAAAAATCTTCTCTCTAAATTTCAATTAGTAAAAGTTTTTACTAATTTGAATTAGTGATTGACTTTTTGTAATTAGTAAAAATTAACTAGTAACTGGTAGAAAAAAAGTGATTATTACTCTATAAAATTGAATTATAATTAATTAGCAGAATTATTTTATTCAGAAGGTGGAATTTATTCTTCTGTAAAGTTTTAAAGAAAAATTACTGAAATTCAAATTAATAGTTAAATTGTATTGCTTATAATTTTTGAGAGAAAAATGACTAAAATTAGAAAAACTTATTTGAATTAATGGCAAAAGTTTTTTTTTATACTTTTTTAGAGAACAATGACTGAAATTAGGAAAAGTTTTATAACTAATTTAAGTAAGTGAATTCAAAAGTCTTTTCTCCTGCATTTTTATGGAGAATAATTACTAAAAATAGTTTTGTTAAATTTTTAAAGAAATATTACTAAAAGCAGAAGAAATTTGAACTAATAGTTGAAAATTTTCGATTTCATAAATTTTTAGAGAAAAGTTACTAAAAGTAGTCAAAAATTGTATAACTAATTTGAATTAGTAGTTATAAAATTTTTCTTTTCTAAATTTTTAGACGAAAATTACTGAAAGTAGAAGAAATTTGACAACTAATTTGAAATAGTAGTGAAAATTTTTCTTTGGTAAATTTTTAGAGAAAAGTAACTAAAATTAGGAGAATTTTTATAACAAATTTCAATTAGTAGTCCAAAATTCTTTTTTGAAAAATTTTGAAAGAAAAATTACTAGAAAGTAGAAAAAACTTTAGAATTTATTTAAAATAGTAGTGGTATTATTTTGATTAACTTTGAGAGAAAAATTACTAAAATTAGAAAAAGTTTTATAACTTATTTGAATTAATAGCTAATCAAAAAGGAACTTTAACTAATTACTCTGCTAATGAAAATTTCTTAATACCATTTCATCTTTATTGAGAAAATATGCAAATATTAATTTAAAAATCTAAAAATTTTCTGAAAATAAAATTAATTAGAGTGAAATCGTAAAAAGTTGAGTTTTAAAATTAAAAGTTTATAAAGATATTTCTTTCTAAGATCCTTTAAAAAAAAGTCATTATTAGATTCACCAAAGGAATTTTTAAAAATTCTTTCCCTCAATTTTTACAGGAAAAAAAAACAATTAAGAGAAGGGAAAAATCAGCTAAAGAAAACCATCAAAGAAATATATTTCTAGGACTTCGCTTTTCTTTGCCTCTTAATTTTTTATGGAAGTTAATAAAAAAAATTCTAGTAGAATTTCCAACTATGAAGAAATTTGAAGACCGAAGGAAATAAGGTCCTTATAGAGCAGTAATTAGATGAAAGAGTGGTTCGAAATGGTAAATGCACAATTTCAAAGTCACTCTTTTTTTTAATCCCATTCTATTTATTGATGTTTATATGTATATAGATATAAATATATGCACCATGATGTTAAAAATACCGCGCACTTTTTTCACAGAAAAAAAAATCCAATTTATTTACACAATATGCACTTTTTTGTATTATATTTCCCCCATTTTTTTAGGGGGGAGGGGAAAATTATTAATTTCGAGCACTTGTCACATGTATATGGTAGTTTTTTTAAATTTACACTCACACATAGTCGGTAAAACAGATTCACAACTATATTCACACTGGATCACTTTATCGTTAATACACAGGAAACCCTTTCTGTAAGTACGTTCGAATTTGTAAATTAAAAAAAAAATTTATGTAGAATATTACAAAAAAATGAGAATGTAATAGAATTGAGGAAATTCGTTTTGGAATATTAATAATACGAAAAAAATGGAGAATTATAAAATACAATAATGAAAAAAACAATAATAAACAACAAACTAGTAAAAATAATAGAAACTACAAAAAAATAGTAAATAATAATAATAACAATAAAGAAAAAACCAAAAAAAAAAAGAAAATGAGAATAATAAGAATAATGAAAAACTATAATTGAAATTAAGATTAATAAAAAAATAGTGTAATAATAAAAAAACATAATAGACAATAAAATAATAGAAAAAAGACTAAATAATTTTTTTTTTTAATTATTCAGTATCAAATAATAATAAAAGATAATAGCAATAAAAAATAAAAAAACAAACTAAAAATAAAAGTTTGTTTTTTATTATTTTTTATTGCGATTATTTATTTGCTATTATAAATATAAAAAAATAATGAATAATAATGAATAATAATGAATAATAATGAATAATAATGAATAATAATGAATAATAATGAATAATAATAAATTAATAAATAATGATAAAAGTTAATACAATAGTAAAAAAAAATTAAAAAGGACCAAAAAGTTACATTTTTTTAACAAAAAATAATAAAAAAAAACAATGGAATTACAAAGAATGGAAAAGGAACAAGTTAATAAATAAACAATAATACAAAAATGATTAATAATAATTGCATTAATAACATTAGAAAAAAAATAACTCCAAAAAAAATCATTAATAACAAAAGCAAAAAAAAAAGGGAAAAAAATTAGTTGAATCGGAAGAAGATTAATGGGAGAATTTGATTTCTCGATCATTGAATCGGATGGAATAATAATTGAGTTTGTAATGATGAAATTGCGAAAATTGTATAAAAGGGGATTGAACGGTAAATATGAGGGATGAATTGGGGAAACGTACTTTTTTTCTTTTCTTTTTTTTCTCTCTTTCTCTCTCTCGAAAGGGTTCCTTACCTTCCGGACGAGATTATCCATTTGTTATTGAAGACGATTGACCGTGTCACTGAGAACGAATACAGAGGCTGAAATGTAGTGATTCTCAAGACCTTCGCTGTTCTTATATAGGAGCGAGTATTACTTGCGCAGCGGCTCGACTTCCTGTGTGAGAATATCTGGCAGTAGGTGAACTATACAGATATGGTTGGGATCATGAAGAAGATCGCGAGGGAGGCGCGGAAGCCGTAACTACATTCGAAACGATTGCAATTCACCAGAGGTACATTGTATACACTTGTATACATATATAAATTTTTTTTTTAATGTATACTACTATATATATATTTATGTATACATATATATTATATATACAGTGTATAAACATAAGCACCGCGCGGAAAGCCTACGCTTTATTCCCCATTGTCTTTTCTTGACGTGATTTTGGATTGAGGGAGAGAGAAGGAGAGATAAGTTGTGGAGGGAGAAAGAGAGAGAGAAAAAAAATTCATGGAGAGACAAAAACAGAGAGAGAGAGAGAGAAAAAAAAGAGACAAATAACAAAAGAGAAAAAATATAGAGAGACAAATAAAGAGAGAGAAAAAAATATATAGAGACAAATAAAGAGAGAAAAAAAATTCATAGAGAAAAAAAATTCATAGAGAGAAAAAATTCATGGAGAGACAAAAACAGAGAGAAAAAAAATATATAGAGGGCCAAAAAAAGAAAGAGAAAAAATATAGAGAGACAAATAAAGAGAGAGAAAAAAGTCATGGAGAGACAAAAACAGAGAGAGAGAGAGAGAGAGAGAGAAAATATGTAGAGAGACAAGTAAAGAAAGAGAAAAAATATAGAGAGAGGAGAGACAAATAAAGAGAGAGAAAAAATATAGAGAGAGGAGAGACAAATAAAGAGAGAGAAAAAATTCATAGAGAGACAAAAACAGAAAGAGAAAGAATATATGGAGAGACAAATAAAGAGAGAGAAAAAAAATATAGTGACAAATAAAGAAAAAGAAAAAATATATAGAGACAAATGAAGAGAGGGAAAAAAATATAGAGACAAGTAAAGAGAGATAAAAAATACATAGAGAGAGAGAGAGAGAGAGAGAGAAATAAAGAGAGAGAAAAAATACACAGAGAGAGAAATAAAGAGAGAAAAATATACAAAGAGAGTAAGGGAGTAAGACAGTAAAAGTAATAGAGTAAAAGAGTAAGAGTAAGAGCGAGAGAGAGAAAGAGAGTAAAAACTAGAGAGAGAGATGGTAAGAGAGTAAGAGCCAGATAGAGAGAGAGAGAGGAGCATGTGAGGGAGCATCCAAAGAGCGCTAACAGAGAAAGCTGATTACCTCACGTCGTGGGATAATTTTGTGCTCTGCACGCCTTTTTCGAGCGGACTAATTAGGTAATTGAGGCTTAATTAAACTATGTTCGGTTGCCTCTCGAGTCAAAGTGTTTGTTTCTATATATAGGTGTGTGAAATCAACGCAGAGAATGTGCATGCACAAGGGTTGAAGTGAATCAAGAGCAGATGCGTTCACGCAACAAACAGTGTCACAATGTCGATTATTGATACTGGAAAAATGTGTTTGAGGAAAAAGAAAATTGTTTTAAATTGTACTTTACTTCTTTTTTTTTCTACATCCAAAATCCAATATACTACAATTTGTGATAAAATTAGTTTTAATTTTTAAATTTTTATTGTTTATATTGTCAGAGCCATTTTTTTTTTTTATTGAATTAAAATTAATTATTATGGTAGTCCTAGTTATTTCTGAGATAATTATACCTTTATTTAACTCAAATAAAATATATTTGGATTGAATACAATTTTTCTCTATGGTGTAGTCAGGGTTGGACCACATTTTTAAATATGTAGATGTGTGTGTGTGTGTGACAATGTTTATTTGTATATTAATTTATAAACTGTGTGTCAAATTTATAATTAAAGGGGGTCCAACCCTGACTACAAATAAATTTTCTTTTTATATTGTAGTGTTATTCACAAGAAACTATACTTAGCTTGTCGACCTTAAATAAGGTCCAACCCTGACTATATGTTTCCTTACTAATTCATTTAATAAACGGTAATAATTAAAATAGCAACTTTACCAAACAAATTAATAGTTTTCTACTGTCAATTAGTAATTTTTATACTCAAAAGTATAGTCAAAACGTTTATTAATTTTATTTAATGAACGAATCGGTCTTGTTTCATTAGTCAAAAGTGATTAATTTAGATTTAGAAAGTAAATTATTTAGTTATTAGTAGTTATGTAGTATTACTATTTAATGGTTGGGGTGGAATTTTTCTAAAACGTATTTTCTAATTTTTTATTTCCTAAAAGTTTTTTTTTCTAATAAAGGTAATTTTCTAATTTTCTTTTTCTTTTCTAATTTTTAGTACTACTAATTTAATTTGTGAAAAATTAAATTATAGATCTTTCAAAATGTTAACTGACGCATTTAATGGACTTTTTTTTATTATTTTGCTATTTACTGGCAATTCACTAATTGACTAACTGATAAATTAGTTTATAAAGTGTTTACTTAGTAAAATTTCTCCTACTTACACGAATATTCAGTAACTTTTGTAATTATTTTCAACAATAAGAATTATTATTTTTAAGTTTATATAATATAGAAACATTAAAAAAAAATTTTTTTTAAATAAAATAATAAAAGTAAAAAATAATAAAAATAAAAAAATGCAAAAAAAATAAATGAAAATTATTAGTATTTAGTGTTTTTTTAAAACATTTTTTTCTACTTATAATTAGTTATCTTTCTATTAATAATTACATATATAGTTAAATTTTTCTAATGCAGATATAAACATAATTTTTTGGTCGTTTTTAAAAAACTTTTTTTATAAAAAAATACTACATGCAGAAGTTAAAAAAAATTGTTTGTAAGTTAAATTATATTCATTACTGAATCACTAAAAAAAATTCCAGTAAAAATTGATTTTATAATGCTCTCCAAAAAAGAATGTACTGAAAAAAGTATCATAAACGATTCTGAGATTCTATCTCGAATTGACTAACAACTAAATCCGATAATCATTTGTTTGAACAGTATATTAAATTCTTTTTCTTTATATTTTATTGTAGTTTACGTTTGAAAATGTACACAAGAAGAAAATTTAATTGAATATTTCTCCTCAGAATTTATTATTTTCTCTTGTTTTTTTTCCGCCAAAGTAAATATAAATTCTCTTATGTTTTTTCTCTCTGTTACAAATAACTAATGGAGGATGATGAGATTCTGCATCAGAAAATGGTTTTTTTTCTCTCCACAATTTTACGAAATAATGTGTATCTTTTATGTAATAAAGAAATTGGTTTAAATTCAACTTTCTAAACGTGTCTATCGTTTTACATCATATTTCTTTTTTTTTTTTGACCAAGTGAAGATGATATCACACAATAATAAAATTTTTTGGAATATAATTGTCTTGTTTTTGTTACACAGTTCGTTGAAATTGTCCCTTTTTAGTTTTGTTTGCGAAAAGAGATGAAAAAAGAGAAACAAAAAAAAAAGAAAGGAAAGTTTCAGAATATCTAAATAAATTTTCATGAAAGTGTTTTGTAATATTTTTGTAAATTTACAAAATCTTGGAATTAAACATACGCGCGGTCATTCATTGCGAAATGTGTAATACACTTAAAAGAGACTTGTGAAATTTGCGTATATAATTGCAAGTAAATAGGGAGTCAAATTTCAATTCAGATTTTATCTTGCGCGGGATTCCAGTTTACTCGGTGAGTTAATTTTTTCACGTTCCGCATCACACTAAAAAAGATTGGTGTGAAGCAAAAACACCCAGTGAGTTTCGAATCAAGAACGAAATGCTTTCACTTTTTACAACTTCCCTATTATTCTTATCGTCCGTCAAATTATCTATGATAATTTTTAAAAAGCGTTTTTTTATTGCTAGGTTATTTTTATTTTGTAAATATAAAAGAAGGTAACTTTTTAATCAGTGTAGAGATATTAATTAGAAATAATTTCTTACATTTAATTCAATTATTTTATAAAATTTTAATAAATTCTTGTAAACAATTCAATTATTTTTTTAAATAGTAAAATCTTTATAAAAATTTAAAATTATTTTCAAAACAATTTTAATTAATTTCCTCGGAAGAATTCAATTTTTAAAAAAAAATTTGACACATCTCGAAAAAATTCAATTTTTTTTTAAATTTTAATAAATCCTTCGAAAAAATTCAATTATTTTTATAAATAGTAAAATTCTTTACAGGAATTCAATTATTTTCAAAATTCTTCGCAAGAAATTCAATTAATTTTATAAATAGTTTACTATTTATAAAGAATTTGAATTTTTTCCAGGAATTCAATTATTTTAAATATACTTAATTTTAATAAAATTCTTTAAAGAAATTTAATAATTTTCAAAACAACTATAATTTGAATTTTTCGAAAAAATTTCATTATTTTCAAATATTTATACAAAATTCTTCATAAAAATTTAATTATTTCTTAAAATTTTAATAAATTCTTCAAAACATTTCTATTATTTAATTATAAATAGTAAAATTCTTCGCAATAATTGAATTATTTTTATAAATAGTAAAATCCTTTGCAGAAATTCAATTCTTTTCAAAATAATTTTAATAGAATTCCTCGAAACAATTAAAATTTTCAAATATTAACATAAAATTAATTTATTTTCTAAAATTTTAATAAATCCTTCAGAACAATTCAATTATTTTTTTAAATAGTACAATTCTTCGCAAGATTTCATTTAATTTTCAATACAATTTTAATAAAATTCTTCTTCATAAAATTTTCAATTAAAATTATTAAAGAAACTCTATTAATTTAAAAAAAATTCAAAGAAATTCTTTAGAATAATTTAATTAGAATTTTTCTGATAACAAATATTTCGCTCATTTGAACGTTCAAAATTTTAAAAGCATAATTTTTATTTAAATGAAATAAATTATATTTAAAACAATAATTTCAGTATATAATTCAAATATCATTTAATTGATTTAAACAAAAATTTTTTGATTAAAGGAAATATTTATTTGATAATACATAAATAATTAGTTAGTTCAATAAAAAAAAATTTTGTTTGGTTTATTTTATTGTATTTACGTATTTTTTCTGACATTTTTTACATTTTTCATTTATTTTTTTTTTAATTTTATGAAATTTGAAATTATTCTTTTGTTTATTTGATTGATTTTAATTTTTTACTTTTCTAAAAATTTGTGTATAAAAATTTTAATTCTTTATTTAAATTTTTCTTTATTTCAATTGCTCGAAAAAAATGTTTTGAACCATAAGAACATGGCTTTTTTATTTCTTCTTAAGACGAATTTTTTTTAAATAAAGAAATAAAATAGACAAAAAATAATAATTTAAAAAATTTTTTTTTTCGTTTTTTATTATCAGACTTTTTGTAAATAAAAAAGAAGATATTTTATTATGAATTTTTTTTAATCAGTACATTTATTATTAAAAAATAGTTTGTTACATTCAATCCTATCTTACTTATAAATTAATTAACAAAATTAAAATTATTCTTATTCTATTTTTTTTATCTCTTATTTTATTACCCGTATTTTTTCTGACTTTCTTCTCACTTTTTCGAAAATAATTTAATTTAAAATTATGTTTTTTTGTTTATTTGATTGACATTAATAGAAAACAAAATTTTTATTCATAACAATATTGGTATAAAATGTTAGTTTTATTATTAAAAATTTAATTTTAATATTTCGAATTCAATTTTAATCAGGATTTTAATTTAATTCTAATTTCAAAATTGATTTTAATATTTCTTTAATTTTAATTTTTCAATTATTCATTTAATTTATAAGAATTATTTTTCGAATCGGTAAGAAAAGTAGCTTTTTGATTTTCTTTTCTCGCATTTAAAAAAAAAGAGAAGCATTAGTTATATAAACTTTGGGAGAACACAGAGACGTCGTCGTCATTCTCCTCCGCAGATATACTAATTTTGTCTAGTAGGAATAATTATAGAAATTAATATGGAAAATGTCGGGGGATAGGGATATACCAAAGATGGCTTCACGATTCGCATCTTATAAGTTAAGGTCAATTAAAACTTTGCCAGGTGGCAGTCGACAGTTTACAAATCGGATAAGTTTCCCCTCGTCTTAGTCAGGGAGTGATATATCCACTTAACTAACAATAATTAACTGAGACGTTTAAGCTTTAATTAATCTTTGTTGCTAGTTATATCACCCGACTTTGACTCAACTCGATTCTCGTTAATACTTCTTATCAACCCTTTTTCCTTTTATATTTATCACTATAGACACTGACTAAACTTTTTTCTCTTCTACAATATATATAAATTCCTCCTCACACAGTTTTTGCTGTCACTATAGTGAAAATTTGTTCTTAGGATTTTTCTTTTTTTTTTTTTTTTGAGCGCAAAACTTTTGTTAAAACTTTTTTAGTTTTTTTTTGCTTTTTAACCAAATTTTTTAACTGAATTTAGAAACTAAATTTTGTAACTGAAATTAGGAACTAAATTTTGTAACTAAATTTAGGAACTAAGTTTTTTAATTCGGAACCAAATTTTTTAACTGAATTTAGAAACTAAATTTTGTAAGTAACTTTTGTAACTAAATTTAGGAACTAAATGAACTGAATTTTGTAACTAGGAACAAAATTTTTTAGCTGTTAAGAACCAAAGTTTTTAACTAAATTTTCTAATGAAATGTTTTAGCAATTTATAGAACAGTTATAAAACAGTCATTTCAATAAATGCCAATAAAATGGCACTGATTCAATATTAGATATATGCGAACCTTTTGCAAATTGATAGCAAAAATTTAAAAATAAATCCAATTCGTAAATGCATTATTAAACGTTACATGTACTACAATATAATGAATAAAACTGGCATAGAAGAATATCACAGAATCTTTTTCTGCCTTTCTCTCTTAAAAATACATAATCGCAGGTACAAAATTGCATGATTGATTGATTCATTCGGAAATCGATGACTTCCGCAATAATTAATGAACTCTATTAGTCTGCTATTATCATAAATACACTCAAAGATGAATTCCTTGTTGTCAAATTCATTTTTTTTATTTTCATTTCTTTTTCTTTTCTTTCTCTTCGTCTTGTGTTCACATTTTAAAGACGTCTCGTGACCGAGATATAAAAAAGTGTTTCTCACGACACAGTGATTGCGACATGATAGCATTTCTTTGTTAACTGCGTGTCGACTCGTCTACTTTATACAATTTTTTTTTATGTGAAATTTTACTAACAGCGATGATGATTCGACGGAGGAAAAAAAAGGAGAATCAGATCGCTCCAAATTATAATGCGTGTATACAATGATTACATGATTTAACAACAACACACTTTGAAAAAATTACACTTTGTAATTAAATAATGTGAATTTAATGAGCAAAATGCCTTGTGTGTTTCGAGAGATGATCGCGTTAAATAACATATATAATTATTGTAATTTTCAATTTGAAAAGAAAAATTTTTGTATTAAGAATATAATATTAATTGTAAAATAAATTATAATGTAATAAATTATATTCGCAAACAATTGCTCGATTATGGTGCTTTGTTAACACATTTTTACTGGCATTTTCACTTTCATTTTCACTTTGAGAAAATTTTTATTATTACTTCCATTTTAACAGTATTTTTGTATTTATTATATTTTTTTAACTTTTATTTTTACTTTCATAAATTTTCTTCAATTCCATTTGTAAGTGAGAATAAAATTGAAAATAAAATCAAAATTTCAATTATCTTTAGAAATAATTAAATTAGCCTTCGAAATTCAATTATTTTCAAAAATTTTCCTCAATTCAATGATTTTCAATATCTATTATTTTCATACAATTTTCCAAAAGAATTTAATTTATTGCAAAAACAAATTTAATAAAATTCTACGCAAACCTTAAATTATTTTTATAAAATAATAAAAATTTTACAGGAATTCAATTATTTATAAATTTTTGATAAATTTCTTCGCAATCATTCAATTATTTTCATGAAAAATAAAACTCATCGCAGAATTTCAATTATTTTTAATTCAATTTTAATGGAATTCCTCAAAAAGTGTAATTATTCTTAAAACTTTTATTAAATTTTGTCGAAAGAATTCAATTATTCAATAAGTTATTTTTTGTATTTATATAATTGAATTCTCGTAGAATTTTCTATAATAAAAATTGATTAAAAAATTAATTTCACTTAAAATTTTAGATTATAATTGAATATTAAAAGGATTATATCGTAAATTTTTTGAAAAAATTGAATTTTAAAAAAGTTTCATATTAAAATCTTTGAAAATTTTAATTTTTATACTAGTAACTAAAAATCCTCCAAAAATGTAATTATTTAAAAAATTTTTGTTAAAATTCGTCAAAAGAATTCAATTATTTAAAAATTTATTGATAAAATTAATTTAGAAATTAATTTAAAGAAATTTACAATTATTCAATAAATTGTTTATTTGTGTTTAAATAATTTAATTCTAATAGAATTTTCTAATAAAAATTGATTTAGGAATAGATTTGAGTTAAAATTTTAAATTGTAATTAAATATTAAAATGATTATAGCGTCAATTTTTAGAAATAATTGAATTTTGAAAAGGTTTCATATTAAAATCTTTTAAAATTTTAATTTTTCATACTTGTAACTAAAAATTCTGTAGAAGAATTAATTTTATTGAAAAATTTTATTTCAATTTTACTTGAAACAATTTTTTTGAAGTTTTTATTTTCTAAAAAATATTTAATTGAAGAATTTTCGAATAATTCAAATTTGGTAAAATTTACTTGAAAATAAATGAATTTGAAAATTCTCAAAGAACTTTTTTAAAAATTATTAAAAATAATTTATTTATAGAAGAATTTTAGTTTAAAATACTAAAAAAATTTAATTTTAAAGAAATTACAAATTAGCAGAAATTCAATTACTTTCAAGAGTAATAAAATTCTTTGCAGAAATTAAATTATGTTAAAAAATAATAAAATTCTTCTTAAGGGAATTTGAACCATTATGACGTCACGTATTTAGAACAAATGCTTTGAACAAACTGTGACGTCATAATGGTTCAAATGCCCTTAAGGATTCAATTATTTTCACAAATAATAAAATTCATATCAGAATTTCAATTATTTTTAATACAACTTTAATCAAATTTCTCGAAAAATGTAATTATTCTTAAAAATTTTATTAAAAGTCGTCAAAAAAAATTCAATTACTTAAAAGTTTGTTGATAAAATTTTTTATGAGAATTCAACTTTAAGGAATATTCAATTATTCAATAAATTATTTATTTTTGTATTTAAATAATTGAATTCTCATAGAATTTTCTATAATAAAAATTGATTAAAAAATTAATTTCAGTTAAAATTTTAGATAATAATTAAATATTAAAAGCAATATAGCGTGAATTTTTAGAAATAATTGAATTTTGAAATTAATTTTTTTGAAAAAGTGTAATTGAATTTTTTTTATATTATTTGAAGTATTTATTTTCTAATGTTTATTTAATTGAAGAATTTACGAATAATTGAAATTTCGTAAAGTTGAATCCTAAAATACAAAAATGTAAAGCCATGAAAACGAAAACAAAATTAAAAGTAAAAATACAATAGAAAATAGATGCGAAAATTTTTTTTTTTAAATAAAAATCTTTCAAAGTGAATTTGAAAGTGAAAGTCAAAATAAAATTTCGTAATCGACTCCCTGATAGTGAATAACTTTTTTCTTTGTTATTATTCAATTTAATTTTCGTATTTACTCTTTTTTCCTTTTTTTGGGAATATTTTCACCGGAAGTAGAGGTTTATTTTCATAAAAAAATCGATAGTGAATATTTTTTTCTAATTAATATTTAATTTAAATTTCGTCTTCACTATTTTTTTCTTGTTTCCTCTTTTGGTGTGAATTTAATTTTTATTTTCGAATATTTTTACCGGAAGTAAAGGCATAATTTGCATAAAAAAATAAAAACCGGTAGTGAATAATTTTTTTTTTCTTGTAATCAACGGAAGAGTGTTTATCAATGATCGTAATGATAGGATACTTTGGCGTGATATCCTTGATTATCAACGTGATACTTGACGTTTTGTATTCTTCCGTCAGGAAGCAACACGTGGTATCGTCCTCGGGTTAAATCGCCGTCCCGTTGCTCCTCATGCCCAAAGTCATTTCCTGTCTCGTGGTCACTCACTCTATAACCGAAATTGTACTTGCCGGCGTTCACTCCTGGCTGAAATAAAATCAGTAAATTTATATTCTCTCCTTCTCTTTTTGTTTGCGCCTCTAAAATGTCAAGATAAATAATTTACTTATAAATGTCAAGTTTCTTGAATATAATACAAAAATTTTATATATGTATAGAAATGTTTGTGTGTGTGTGTGTGTAAGAAATGAGATCTCTTTTTATCCCCCCGAGCCAACCATTTATTGTTAAACTTGACTCATTCATCATTTCAACTTCGCATTGCGTATAAAAACTCATACACACACAATGTTTAAATTCCTCGTTGCAAAATTTATTATTGTTTTCTTGAAAAATATTTTTTTAATATCACCCACAGAGAAAGAGTTTACTGATTTTTAATAGAAAATATTTTTTTGATTTTTCTTACTTTTTCTTGAAACAATTTTTTATTTAAAGATAAAATAAAATTTATAATAAATAAAATAAAAAAATTAAATTTATTAATTATTAATTAATAAATAGTGAAATTTAACGATCACTTCGAGTTTAATTATTAATTAAATCATAAATTTGATAATTATTAGAACTTAAAATTGATACTGAAAGAAATGTAGATATTTGAATTTTGAAATTGAAAAATTTGAAGAATATATTTATTTATCCTGTTGGGCTTTGTAATTTCAAATAAATAAATAAATTTTTTCTTCATTTTATTCCATTTTTTGTAAATCAAATAAAAAAAATATTTTTCAGTGTACCTCTTTTCGTCTCTCCTATAATCTTTACTTTGGTGTATTTTTTATAAAAAGAATTCAATTTTTAATCACAATTTTTAAAAGAATTTATTTATTTATATGAACTTACATTTTATATAAATTTATATAAAATTTATGTATTCAGAATTTATTTATAAAGAAGATTACAGAATCAACTAAAGAAATGAACGCTACTGAAATCAGAGAAAAAAGCTTTCGATTTGAAATGAAAATTTATATTTTAAAATTTTTATTTGTTACAAATAAAGTTCTGCATTTTAAATATTAATAATAATCATACATACGTATTATAGTCATGAATAAAAAATATTTTTTGAATTTGTTAAAAAGTACATTCGTAGCAAGTAAATAATATATTTGATTCCAGAGAAAATTTACTGGACTTAAAAGAAGTCAAATAAGGAAAAAAGAGACAATAAATAAATTTCTAAAAAAAATTAATAAATTTCTAGTAAATAAATATAAACTTTGAAAAAGTAAAACAAGAAATTTTTATTTATTCTTTTTATTTATTTAATAGAAATGAATCATTTTTTTGAGTGTATCTACTTTTTTGTCATCTATAATCTTTCCGGCAGTGTATTTTCTTTTTAAAAACTATTCAACTTCAATTAGAAGTTCAACAAAAAAGCAAAAAAAAAAAAAAAAAATAGTATAATAATATATTAATAAAAATAATTAGAATAAAACAGTAAAAATTATTAAATCCATTTAAATTAACAATAATCAATCACGGGGTCGATTATGTAATTTCATTTCTAGTATGACATTCATTTTCACTTTCACTTTAAAAGATTTTTTCACTTTTGTTCTCACTTTCATTTTCACTTTTATTTTTACTTTTAGATTTTTATTTTCACATTTATTTTCATTTTTAGATTTTTATTTTCAATTTCATTTTCATTTTGAAAGATTTCTATTTTTACTTTCATTTTCAGTGTTACTTTGAAAGATTTTTTGTTATTTTCACTTTTATTTTCACTTTGCATCAAAGTTGAAGTGAATAAAAAATTTATATAGCTGAAAGTGAAAGTAAAAATGAAACAAAAATAAAAGTCTATCAAAAATTGACTGGACAAATAAAAAGTTAATAGAAAAATCTATTAAAATGAAAACAAAAGTAAAAGAAAAAAATTCTCTCAAAGTGAAAGTAAAAATAAAAGTGAAAATAAAAATTTGTCAAAGTAAAAGTAAAAGTGAAAATTGAAAGTGAAAATTGAAAGTGAAAATTGAAAGTGAAAATAAAAGTCAAAGTAAAACAGAAATTACACAATCGATCCTCATAATTGCCTATTTTTAAAAATTTTTAATTCAAGATTCAAGATTGTTTTACTTACTTGGAATTTAAAAAATTCTTTTCTCAATTTTTTATTTTGAAAAAATTGATATTATATGACCAGATTATTTATATTTATGAATAGGGGGGGGATAAAGGAGAATAAAAGAAATAAAGTGCGTTAAAGACTATTTGTGTTTGCTTTTGAGTTATTACTGTGGACGTGAAGTTAGTCGAATCTCATCAGGCTCTGTCAATTTGTATAAATCGTGCAGTGACTCGTATTAGAAACCTTCTCTGGAATTCAGAGGAATTTCAGTGGCTGATGTTTCAGCAGCGTCCCAAGGGCGCTAGTGCAAATCTGGGTGAACCACAAATCCAGGATTTGAGAAAAGCTGATATATATATGTATATATGTATATATTGTACTCTCAGTTACATGACGTTATTCGATGCCAATATTACGTTTACCATACGCAACCCCCTATTGGATTTAATATATATATATACATACATATATATATGTATTTGTAAAAATAAAATTCTCTCACATAGATAGCGATAATACCCCTTTTTTAAGAGCTTAATATTTGTTCTTCTATTCCTTATTTATGTTAAGGAATTTTGTAAATTTTGCAAATTTCCCGTAAACATGATTTTTAAATTTAATTCTTAAAAATTCGATCACAAAATAGATAGAATTAAAATAAAATTTATGTTTACCATCATTTACGTCGATGCAAAAAGTATTCTTTTTTTAAGATCAAGAAGCAAATAATTATTGATAGAAAATGAAAATTAATATCCCCCATTACTTGCTTAAATCTTTTTAATTTAATCGAAAATGTACAATTTGATTTTAATTTTAATGTTGAAGAAAAAAAAGAACCTTTCAAGAAATAATCGAGTAGCAAAATTTTGTTGCAATTGCAAAGAAAAAAATTGTTGCAGATTTATAATTGCTTCTCTGCAATTCTATTATTTTTCGAAGGGTTTTTTTTGGATTTAAAAATAAGTAGTAAAAATAAGATTTCGTCAGACGTGTTTAAAATTTTTTAAATGAATATTTTACCAGTAGTAAAGAACAGATTACATTGTTTGCATAAAGTAGAACGAAATTTTAGTCAAAAAAAAGCAATTTTTAATGTTTTAAATTTACTATCAGTAGTAAAGTATAGATTTAGTCAGACAAAATATTGTTTGAATTTCTATGCTTATTGTATTAGTAATAAAAAACAGTTTATATCTTGATTTTTTTGTAGTCGATAACAATTTAAGTCAATCAAAGACTCTATAATTATTTTGAATTTAGTATCAGTAGTATAAAATATATTTAGTCGTACAACAACTAAGAACATTGTTTGTAGTATCAGTAGTAAAAAGTAAATTTAGTCAATCAAAACTATTCTTAAGTCTCATGTATATTTTACTAGTAGTTAAGAATAATTGAATTTGTTATCAGTAGTAAAACATAGATGTAGTCAGACAAAATAGCAATGCAAGTTAGCCAAAGAATTTAAAATTAGTTTGAATTAATATTTAGTAGTAAAAAACATATTTAGTCAGACGTAAATTTTCTCTATTTTTAAAAATACTGTAGCAGTAGTAAAAGACAGTTTAGGTCAGACATTAAAAAAATGTTCTAGTTTACTAAATTTATTTATTAAATTTATTAGCAAATGATTTGAGGACTAAAAATAATTCTAAGAGTGCCAGAGCATTATTAAATATTTTGAATTTAGTATCAGTAGTATAAAGTATATTTAGTCAGACAAAAAATGTTCTTAATTCTTGTACATATTATACTCGTAGTATAGAACAGTTTAATCTTTTTAAGTAGTAGAAGTCAATGTAAGTCAGACAAAAAGTTTAAAATTAGTTTGATTTTAATATTAGTAGTAAAAAATAGGTTTAGTCAGGCATCTTCTAAATTCTTGTAAATATTGTTCCAGTTGTAAAGAACAGTTAAAAATTAAAATCTTTTGTTAGTAGTATAAGTCATTGTGAGTCAGCCAAAGCATTTATTATTATTTTTAATTTAATATCAGTAGTATAAAATTGATTTTGTCAGGCAAAGCTATTCTCAAATCTTGTTCATTAATGATTAAATTATTCAAATGTTTTATTTAGTGTTCAGTTTTGTCACACGTAAATAATTTTTAATTGTTAATTTTAAGAATTCTTTATTTTTAATTTAATTATTTTAATTAATTTTCAATTAATTTAATTAATTTAATTAATTAAATTAATTAAATTCTCAACTTGATAATTCAATGAGTGTTGATAATTGGATGTCAGTTTTATCTTCTAAATAATTCATTAAATTAACAATTAATGAAGAAAGAATGAATAATTAAAGTGATGAAATTGAATATTTCAAGAGAATAATATCAATTACGCTTCTATTATTTTTCGGAAGGGTTTTCTCATTTTTTGTTTTGAAATTAAAATTAAATGCAAATTTTACTATAGTTATATGAAATAAATATTCATGCGGTGTATCAACTTACATAGGTGTTTCCACTGTTGGAATTGTGTATATATTCCTTTTGACTAAACTCCGATGTAACCCCGGTATACTCTAATTGAGCTGGAGTACCTTCCGTTTCGTCTACATTTTCATTGTGCAACTTGTGATTCAAAGGAACACTTTTGATAATCGGCAACGCTGCTTCATATCTATGATTGCTAATTTCGTTAGCGATAGACGGTAATGAGACTTGGAATGATGGTCCAGTTGTAAATGAACTCTCCATTTCGGGTGATTTTTCAGTAACTGGAATCTCATCTGTTAAAGAATAATTATTATTGCAAATAATCATTGAGATGAATTTTTTTTTCCTTAAAAAATCAGACTTCAAAATAGTAAATTTTTTTTCGAGATAATAAAAAGTAGTAGAAAATAGTTTTGGTCAGACTAAATTTTTTAGACTATTTTACTTTGAATAGTAGCTTAGCGAAAGTTAATTACAGTAAATCGGATCATAAAGTCGAAGGTGTAGCATAAATTATAGTAGTTAAGGACAGTTTTAGTCAGACAAAGAATTTCCAATATTGAATTTAGTATAAAGGCGGAGAAGTCCCTGTTGGTCAGATAGTTCTAAATTATTAGAAAATTTATTATAGTAGTTAAATATTCAGTTATAGTCAGTAAGAAAAATTTTTCTACATTATTTAACAAATTATTATATAGTAGTAAAAAGCAATTTTAGTTCATTATTAAAATATTGAATTCTTAAAGAAATTTCCAGTAGTAAAAGACAAATTGAGTCAGACAAATATAAATACTGATCATGTATATATTTTTTTTGCTTTCAGTATTAAAAAAAATTTTCTAATAGTAAAAAATTATTTTAGTCGCAAAGTGAATTTTTGGTCAATAAATTTAGTGGTAAAAGACAGTAACAGCCAGACAACGTATTTGAAGATACTAAATTTAGTATAAGTAGTAAAAGTCAATATAAGTAAAAAATACTTTAAAAAAATGTATTTTTAAAATTTCCACTAATTTTTAAAAATTAATAAGTATAACAGTAGTAAAAGTCAGCTTTGGTCAGACATTAAAAAAAAATTTTACATTCTTAAATTTATTTATTAAATTTATTGTCAAGTAATTTAAGTACTAAAAACTATTCTAGACTGAAAAAGCATTAAAGAATATTTTGAATTTAGTATCAGTAGTATAAAGTGAATTCAGTCAGACAAAAAATATTCTTAATTCTCATACATATTATATTCGTAGTATAGAACAGTTTAATCTTTTTCAGTAGTAGAAGTCGATGTAAGTCAGACAAAAAATTCAAAATTAGTTTAAACTTAGTATTTTCAGTAGTAGAAGTCAATGTAAGTCAGATAAAAAATTCAAAATTAGTTTAAATTTAGTATTAGTAGTAAAAAATAGGTTTAGTCAGACAGTTTGAATTTAGTATTTTTAGTAGTAGAAGTCAATGTAAGTCAGACAAAAAATTCAAAATTAGTTTAAATTTAGTGTTTTCAGTAGTAGAAGTCAATGTAAGTCAGACAAAAAATTCAAAATTAGTTTAAATTTAGTATTTTCAGTAGAAGAAGTCAATGTAAGTCAGACAAAATTTAAATTTAGTAAATAAATTTAAATTTAGTATTTTCAGTAGTGGAAGTCAATGTAAGTCAGACAAAAAATTCCAAATTAGTTTATATTGAGTATTTTTAGTAGTAGAAGTCAATGTAAGTCAGACAAAAAATTCAAAATTAGTTTAAATTTAGTATTTTCAGTAGTAGAAGTCAATGTAAGTCAGACTAAAAATTCAAAATTAGTTTAAATTTAGTATTAGTAGTAAAAAGTAGGTTTAGTCAGACAGTTTGAATTTAGTATTTTTAGTAGTAGAAGTCAATGTAAGTCAGACAAAAAATTCAAAATTAGTTTAAATTTAGTATTTTCAGTAGTAGAAGTCAATGTAAGTCAGACAAAAAATTCAAAATTAGTTTAAATTTAGTATTTTTAGTAGTAGAAGTCAATGTAAGTCAGATAAAAAATTGAAAATTAGTTTAAATTTGGTATTAGTAGTAAAAAATAGGTTTAGTCAGACAAAAATGTTTATAAGGCTTGTGATTATGAAAATTTATAATTATTTTGAATTTTGTGTTGTTAGTTGACAGTGTAAAGTAAATTTAGTCAGACAAAACTGTTTATAAAACTTGTGCGTATGTAACTAGTAGTAAGGAATATTTTAAGTATATTTTAAGTAGTAGAAGAGTAAAGTAGTAAAGAAGAATTTTTTAATTTATGTCAGTAGTAAGAAATAGATTCAGTCAGACAGAATATGTTCCAAATAATTCAGAGTACTGTACCAGTAGTAAAGAACAATCAAAGTCAGACGGAATTTTCACATTTTCCCTACAGTTTTAAAATTACTAAAAAACAAAAAAAAACGAATTACCTTTTATCGAACTCAGTGTACTCTGCTGACCATCAGAATTCACAAAATCAAAATCTCTCCCCAATTCTGGAAATTGTGTGAAAAAATTGGAAAATTCACCATAATTTTTTTTTTGCCCTTGATCATCAGTCATAAATGGCGCTGGTAATATTCGTGTCTCATAAATTATTTTCGGTGGAATAAATGCAACTTGTTTGTTTGGTATTTTTTGGAAATTTTCCTCTATCACAGAATCAATGTGACTTCCCTCTCTGATGTGATTAATTGGATTTGAATTAAAATTCAATTGTCGTTGATGATTGGGAACAAAGAATGATGGTATTTTAGTTGAATGATCGTCAATTTGTAATGATCTCAGTAGTCCTCTTTGATAGGCAATTGCCGCTGAATTTTGTCTCGAGAAACGTGATTTTCTCCTTTTCACTGATAATGGAGTCAGTAAATGTTTAGATTGTTGTCGTCGTGAATTAGATCGATAAAGGGGCAGAGCTTCCGGTGGACCGTTACTACTATTTTCTTCCCTTGAACTTTGTAAATGTTGAGTGCGAATTGGCTTTGAGTTTGTCGTTTGTTGATGCAATTCGAACAAATCGTTTGTTTGTTGTCTATTTTCCTTGATGTTTTTTTGACTCATTGTTTCTGGAAAAGTTGGTTTTTAATTTTAATTACTTATTGAAATATAAATAAAATTTTACCTTTTTAATAAATTTTTGTGGTGGCAGTAATTGTTGCTTCGTCTTTTTTTTCTATTAATTAACACTTATTGAAAAACTTTTTTCGTTTTTTTTTTTATTAACTTTCGTTGATAAACATTGTTGTGGACTTCAACTTCGTTTAATAAATTCAGTTTTTAGAAAGAAAGTTTTTCGACTTGTAAAAGTATTTATTTGACATATAATAAAAATTTTGATATTCTTCTTTTTTTCCTTATCGAGATGACTTAATCGAAATCTTGAAGGGATAACAAACAAAACGTTTCTTTTGAAAGAAAAAACGATTGAGAGAGAGAGTGAGCACGCGAGAGAGAGAGAGTGTAGGGTGAGGGGGGGGGGAGGGGAGATTCTTTAGAAATGTTACCTTTATCTTGAAGATCAGGAGTGCTGTGCGATCGAACGTCAATCTTCCGATTGAGTATTTCCGTCGTCTCCTTTCTACTGGAACTCTCTGGAGTAGAATTTCCGGTTGCTCTCTTTTTCAAGGACAGAGCTTCAGAGTGAAGAAGCTCTTTTCTATTTTCAGTGACGCTTCTCTCGTCGAGAGAAGACGTCAAGGGTCGTTCCTCATTCCTTTCGCGTTCGAGCATCTGGTTAACGAAGAATCTCGAACGACGATCATCAGTCTTTCTGTAGTTGGTATCGACTGTCGTCGTCGTCGTTGTCGTCGTGATTTCCTGCTTTTTCCCCTGATAATCAAACGAACTATTCGCGTTTTGCCTCTCAATTAGCAGTCGCTCCAGGGTCATCGAAATTGATCGTTGTTCAGGATTCATTTCTTCATTCCAGGACGATTCGATTATATTTTTACGTTTTTCCTTCGGATTTATGTAATCAAGAAACTCTAGGTCGCCGCCAACGCCGCCGGATCGGTTCGAGTGTTCGTTAACGAATCGCTGATTAGGATTCCCGTTAACAACCATCGTATTTAGTCGGATGGCAGCAGGTGTTGACGCCATCACGAGAACAATGATAAACTGGCACCCCAGCAGAAAATACATCGTTATCTGTAATAAGAGAAATTAACGTTAATTGATTGTTAAAAATAAAAAGGTTGGATTAAAAAAAAAAAAATTATAACGATTCTCTATACGTAATTGATTTTCATCCTTTAATTTCATCTTACTTTCTCTCTAATTTTTCTTTATGTGCAAAATTTTCCTCCATACAATTTATAAAATTTTATAAATTTTCTTATTACTCGAATAATTTTTATTGGGTTAGATTAAGTTTCATTTGGTTCAAGTAATTTTTATATTTACTCGGACAGCTTTTAAAGTAGTTTAACAATTTTTTATTTGGTTCGAATAATTTTTATTTAACCCAAAAGCTTTGTAATTAGTTTAAAAATTTTTTATTTGATTCAAATAAAAACTCTTGGTTCAAATAATGTTCATTTGCTTAAAATAATTTTTTATTTTGTTCGAATAATTTTTATTTAGTAAAATGAAAATAATTATTTGAATTAAATAACACTTTTTTGGTTCACATAATATTTAGTCGGTTTAAGAAAAAAGTTTTATTTGGTTCGAAAAATATTTTTTGGTTGAATTAAATGTTTATTTGGTTCAAATAATTTTCATTTGGTGAAAATAATTTTTTATTTGATTCGAATAATATTTTTTGGTTGAATTATATTTTTATTTTTCGTTGTTAAAAAAACGAAAATTTATAACGATCTTTTTACGTGATTAAGATTTTTGTCCTCTAATATCATCTTCCTATTTTCTCTCTAAGTTTTCTTTATTTGTCCCCATTTATTATTGTATTTGCAAAATATGGAAAAATAATTGATTTGTCTCCAGACAAGTTATAAAATTTTATGCAAATTATTTCTGGTATTTTGAGATCACTTTTTTATAAAATTTGACATCTTTCCGATAAAATGTTATAATTTACCTTTTCAAAAATATCCTTATAATGAAAATTCACTATTGGATAAAGAAATTTAATTTCTGCTTGTTTTAATATTGTTAACCTTAATTCTCCTCTTATTAAGAATTTTGTTTTGTATTTTTGCTTTCGATTATTTACTTTTTATAATGTAAAAAATTTTAATTAGTTAATTCAATAAATTATAATTATTCTCTTAACACAAACAATAAATTTGTAATTTAAAAAAAACTTTTAATCAGAAATAATTTAATAAAATGAATAAAAGAAAAATTATAAAGTAAAATTAAATTTTATTCAAATATTTTCAATGAAAAATAATAAAATAATATTTTGGGGTATTTAGTGTTTTGCTCGTCTGTATTTATTAAATAAGTAAATAAAATAAAAATTGTAAAATAGAAATTATAAAGTAGATAAAATTTCATTAAATAAAATTGAGAATATAGTGAAAATTTTTTGAAACTATTTTTAATGAGAAATAGAGATTATATATATATATATATATATATATATATATATATATACACACAATATTTAATTAAATTCAGCTAATTTTCCAATATATTAACTGCTGGTCTTCTTATATATTTTATTAATAGCAATTAGCAAATTCTAACGTGACAAGAGAAATCATTGTGTCACAATAAATAATATATTTTGAAATTAATTATGTAATTAATTTTACTTTATAATTTTATCAATAAAGGAAAATTATAAGTGATCCTTAAATAACTTAAATTGTCCTGTTATAAAATAAATAGAATCTGACAAGACCCGTTTAGTATTCAAGTTACAATTAGTCATTTTTTATTTATAATCACTGCAATACTGTCTATTGTCAAAATTATATATTTTCTATTTTCAGAAGAAACAGAAAATGTATTTTTGTCTATAACAATGTTACAAATAAATTTTATTTGGCTCAAATATTTTAGACTATTTAAAAAAAATTTATTTCGTTATATTAATTATTTCTAGATACAGATTTTTTTATATCGTTCAAATAGTTTTTATTTTCGTGAATAAAATTTTTATTTTGCTTGAATAATTTTTGCTTGGTTAAAACAAAAATTTTGTTAAATTAAATTTTATTTGGTTAAAATAAATTTTGATTTGGTTCCTGTAATTATTATTTGGTTCGAATAAAAACAATTGGTTTAAATAATGTCCATTTGCCAAAAAGTACTTTTTTTGTTTTGTTCGAATAATTTTTATTTAGTCCGAAAGATTTTTAATTTATTTAAAAACTTTTTATTTATGTACTTTAAAATTTAAATAATTATTTTTTTATTCAAATAATATTTATTCGGTTGCAAAAAAATTTATAATGTTTTCTGGTTGAATAAAATTTTTATTTGGCTGAATAATTATTTTTTTGGTTCACATAATGTTTATTCGGTTAAAATAAATTTTTATTTTCTTCGAAAAGTGTCTTTTGGTTGAATTACATTTTTATTTGGTTCAAATAATTTTGTATTTGATTGAATAGAGTTTTTATTGTGTTCGAATAATGTTTATCTCGTCGAATTAAATTTTCTTTTGCGTTGAATAATTTCCATTGGGTTAAATTTAATTTTTTTTCGTTTGAGTAATTTTCATTTGGTTTGAAATCATTTTTTTATTTTGAATAATTTTTATTTGGTTCGAATAATTTTGTATTTGGTTGAATAGAATATTTATTTTGTTCGAATAATGTTTATTTCGTTGAATTAAATTTTCTTCTGTCTTGAATAATTTTCATTGGGTTAATTTAAATTTTTTTTTGTTTTAGTAATTTTTTTTTGGTTTGAAAGCTTTTTTAATTTGTTCAAAAACTTTTTATTTGTTTGAAAAAATTCTATTGGTTTAAACTATTCTTGTATTTTATTCAGTATTTTATTCTTGTATTTTATTCAGTATTTTATTTAAAGAAATTTTATTCAGTCAAACAAAATTTCAATTGATCGAACTAATTTTTTTTTTTGTAGAAATATATTTTATATCGAACAAATAAGTTTCATTTGGGGTTTAAATAAAAATTCGTATTATTGGAAATAAGTTGAATTAGAAAAAAATTGGTCGTGTGATCAAATTTCCAAGTTTTCTCAACTTAATAATCATAATAATGCAATAACTGTTTTGTCTCTCTTCTTCCTCTTCATGCATATCCAGAATAAGTTATATGAGCTTATGATAGTTTTCCACAGCAGACCTCTTGCTGGTATAATTTCTGCATGTCTCTTGCACTTTACTTGCTTTAAGGCGAAATCTTGATGACAGTTTAAGAGCTTTACTCACGGGTACAGTTAGCACTGAGCATTCGAGATAAGACCGTTATGCTCACTTTTTTTTTTGTCTACACGTGTATATATATTACAAACATTCAGTTGATGATTTTTCTATTCAAATTTTCTTTCTTCTTTATTTTTTCTATTTTTATTCGAAAGATAAAAATTTCAGAGTTCATTCACTATTTTTCATATAATATTAGATAATAAAAAATTATATTTTCATTTTCAAATGGTTTGTATACAAAATATTTAAATTAAATATAAACATATTTAATTGAAATATAAACATATTTAATATAAATATATATTTTTATTTTTAAATAGTAAATAAATAAAAAAAGTGGATTTTAATGTTTAGGAAGAGAATTCTCTAAAATAAGGAGTAGCGAAAAAATAGGACACTTTCTGAAAATTTTCTTTTGGAAATATTCTCCCTTCTATTATCCACTTACATTATTAGTAAATAAATACAAACAAAATTTATTTGTAAATAAAATATTTCAAAGTAGAAAAACATCTATATTTCAAATTTTTTCAAAACGAAACGTAAACAAATGAAATGGGAGAAAATTTTCCCTTTTCATTATTATTATTATTATTAATATTGTTTTCAGTGATAAAAGAAAAATGAGTGCAATAACAAAAATGTGTTACTGTTATCTCCATGTCAGCTATATGTTTACATATGAAAATTATTTTGTAACTTTTGAAAAAAAATATTATACACAATGTATTATTTTTTTACCTCAATGTGTAAATAATATATATGAACTCATTTTCTCTTTGTGTTTTTTTTTTGTTCGTTCATTTTTTCGTTTGAAAAAAACTGTCATTATTCTCGACGTGGTGTCCTTAAGTTATTATCTGAATAACACTTTTATCAATAAACTGCAACAGCTGGAGTTTATGTACGTGCTTTTAGCAATGAACGTGCATTGCCTCGTTTACAGTGTTCGCAGAACGTGTCTATGGAAATAACTATCCCAGTTGTTGACCATTGTCGGTATGCTTGAGAACCACCTTTACTCAGGAAATTTGGTATTATTACACCTTCTGGACTGTGTTTCAGTCTTCGTATATATATAAAGCGTTGTTGCAAGGTGTCATCCTCAATTTTCAATATTAGCTTGTACTAGTTTCCGTCTATTATAGATTTATGGAAAATATGCGAGGGCACGTAGATTTACACAATTTATTATCATATTTGACAAAAAAAACCATTTTTTTTTGCCTCTCATTTTAATTTGTTAAAATAAATATTAATAAATTTTATATGATTTTTGTTTTTTTTAATAAATTAATAATTATATTAATAAATGTTAATAAATATTAAGATTTATTGATAATTATAAACACTTAATTATAAGTGTCTAAGAAAATTTCAATTTGTCAATATATAGAAGAAAAATATATTCGTAAAATGGAGAAAAATAAAAGTTGGTTAAATAAATTTATAAAAAAGATTTTCCGTTTATAAACTAATTCTCTAAGAAATGATATAGGTATATATAGAAATGATTAGAATTATTGATTCACGTAATGTGACAGATTATAACAATAATCTATGTTATTAATTCGATAAATTATACACAAATTACTAATGTTTCTATGGAAAGTGGGACTTTGGTGGAAATTACTTTACTGTACGTTAGCAGTTAATCATAGAATATAGTTGCTAATCGAGTAACAATACTACTTCATTACTGCACTTCGTATCCTGTTCAACTAGCTTTTAGCTTTATTGAAATTTTGTTTTGTAACTGCATTTGCAAGCGTTTTCTCAGTTCTTTGATCAGTAAAATTTACAAAAAAAAAAAAAAATTTATGTACTGTAGAGCGTA